CTGCGCGTGTGCGTGTTGGGCTTCATAAATCAGCCCCAATGAGTCAACTGACTTATTGGCATTGATTTACCAAAGTAGATTAGGCTGTTAATTAGCACAGTGAATTTGTACATTGCAAGGAAATGTTTAATTACTATAGTGAATATGGTGAAGCTCTTATCATATGCAATCAAAAATCCCTCTTTGCAGAGGTGAACATGCTCTATCTCATTTAGTAAATCAACCCTATTAACCTCCCTGACGGTATGATTTTTTCTTCTTTTTTTTTTTCCTTTTTTCGTTCCATTTATTTTACTTTTTTTTCTTCTTTTGAATCTCCCGCCGGTTCCGCCCCCCTGCGACACGGACGCTCGCAAGGGACGGAACCCAGCAGTCGGATGCCCGCATCGGCCCGAGGATACAATGCGGCTTGAGGGAAAAGGTAAGAGACGTGCTGTGTATTCCCGAGTGTGGCTCTGGGTTACAGCTTATGGTACAGAAAATTAACCCCGAGCTACACTCGGGAATACCGCCAAGAAGGTTAAATGCAATGCCCTTTCGTCAAGGTTGATATACACTGCCTAGCGAAAAAAAGTCACACACTGTAATATTTTGTTGGACCACCTCTAGCTTTGATTACAGCACGCAATGGCTGTGGCTTCATTTTGATAAGCTTATGCAATATCACAACATGTATTTGTATCCAGAGTTGCATTCATTTTTCATCAAGATCTTGTAGTGATGAGGGGAGAGTCGGACCACTGTGTAAAGTCTTCTCCAGCACATCCCAAAGATTCTCAATGGGGTTAAGGGCTTGTTCACACCAAATCCAGTGCGTTTCAGCCAGTTAGTGGCTGGAACGCACTGGATTGCATAGAGAAAGCCTCCCATCGTTCCGAGGCGGGAGGGGGCATGGTGGTGCATTCAAGTCAGCGGCACCTCAGCCACGCCTCCTGCCTACAGAACACCCGCACCAGAACGCGTGGCACAGCAATACCTGCGGTCCGGTGCGATCGCAAAAAATAGTGCTGGAACGCACTGGATTTGGTGTGAACAAGCCCTAAGGTCTGGACTTTGTGGCAGACAATCCATCTATGAAAACAATGTCTCATGTTCCCTGAACCACTCTTTCACAATTTGAGCCCGATGAATCCTAGCACTGACATTTTGAAATATGCCCATGCCATCAGGGAAGAAAAAATCCATTGATGGAAAAACATGGCCATTCAGTATATTCAGGTCAGGCCTTGTTCACACCAAATGCAGAGCAGATCCGCTCAGGTTTCTGCACACGCAGTGCAGTGGGTTGTGGCGCGTTTTTGCCGTGTTTTTTGATGCGTTTCGGGCCGTTTTTTTTTGTTGTTGTTGTTGCCAGATTAAACATATTAATCACTGCAGTAATTACCCAATGGAAGGCTCTGACCTATTTGCTTAGCCAAATCCAGGTGGTTGCATTCGCTTGGCCAAGCAGTGTATGAACAATTGTTAACAGGGAGAGAGAAAAATTGCACTGAACCACTGAGAGCCCCCTCTAGTAGCTAATTTACAAATCTCTATATTCAATACCAACAATAGGAAAGTGCATCAACATTGTCTTTAAAGAGGACCTTTACCCCCTTTCACTAAAAATCACATAATATGAAAACATCTTACATTCATTAGTTAAACAAACATATTTTGCTTTTACTAACAATTATTGTTTTTCTACTTCCTGGTTATCTTGGGCATTAGTGATGTAATCTGTGCCCAAGCAATGCATCCTGGGAAGGTTGCATCAGCAGAGCATTGCTGGGAAATCTCATGAGATCTCAGGGAAAGGCATTTTCCTCCTTTAATATGATGTGCATGGTCACATGTCCTAGTCACATGTGCCAGAGTTCCAGGAAGTAAAGTAAGATATACAGTGACAGACCTAAGGAACAAAGGGCCCTGGTGCAAGATTTTTCTCGGGCCAACCCTTCCCACACAGCGCACTGTTTGCAGTTTCTGGGCTTAACACCCCACCCCCCTTCAACAACTCAGTGACTTACCTTATACACTGCAGTGCTGTCAGAGCCCGACACCATGCTGGCCACACTGTCTGAAGGGGGCAGGGCATGTGACACAGTGCCCGCATCAGGAAAGAGGTGATCCGGCGGTGTGTCCTGTATACCGCTTGCATTGTTTTCGGGGCATATAAATTGCAGGCGGTATATGGGCCCCCGTAGCACCCCCCTATGCTACTGGAAGAGTGACTGACAGCCCAGGAGCCTCCGTGCTGCCCGGCCTTTCGTATGCTGCTGCAGGGCATTAGAGAGATCCTGACCCCCTGCCCACTTCGTCCCTGTCAGTGAGCCCCCCTAGCCTTGGGGCGGCCGTACCGGCTGCACTCCCAGTAGGTTCACCACTGGAGATATAGCAATCTGGCCCCAGTAGAAATGGCCACTGTGAGAAGAATGGGGAGGGGGAAAAAAGGTATGCAAAGAATAAAAAGCTGGCAATTATATAGAAGTATCTGTTGGCAGTAAACTAAACATGAGATTGTAGTCCATCACAGGAGCAAGCTTGGCATGTTGGCCACTTTACAACACACACAGGGACCATGGGGAAGAAAAGTGTAGCCACCCTCCAGAAGGAAGGACAGTGTCGGCATAAATTCAGAGATGATTTGAGGATCTACAGCCGAGTGATACACAGATAGGATACATTTTTGTTAGTAGTTAAGGTACTTGAATGCATTTTTAAGATTTACAGTCATGGCCAAAAATATTGGCACCCCTGCATTTCTGTCAGATAATGCACCACTTTACGCAGAAAGTTGTTTTGCGTGGAATGTGTCAGGTTTGGCTTTTTTTGTCAACCTTTTTGTGTCATACCAATACAAACAAAATAAATAAACATGAGAATGCCTAAACATTTGTACTTGCAACAATTTTCTGCGCAAAGTGCGTTTTTTTTGCACTGAAAACTGAAAAATGGTCTGGCAATGAAGGCGGTCTAACATGCCCGTAGCTGGGATTTCACACATTTTGATACTTACATTAAACCGATCTCTTTCCTATAACAATCTAAAAGATAATACATTTTCTTTACAATAAAGCAATATATAAAATGTATAGAGAGCAAGTGTGCAAGGCCACACATATCTAATTACAATACATGTAAAAACAATAAAAAGGAGGCAAAAAAACAAATCAGAATACATTTGTAAGCTCACACATGAGCAATTTCCCATGTATTATTTAAAATAAAAAAAAATCTATTTTCATTAAACTGCTTTAAAAAGAGCATTTTAAATGCTTCTGCTGAATAAATACGCCAACGAATGAATATTCCAGGACAATGACAACCCCAGGTACAAGCCATCGCAGCCCTTTGTCTAGCAAACCTGCCTTATCCACCCAAAGAGTGGCAGATTAACCTCATCAAAGATGGCCTCCACACCGCCTAGTCGTCATGTGACCGATACAGGCAGTCCTCCTCCCTCCCTCTACAGATGCGCTCGGTGGGTTGGAGAAGTCTGTTTTGTATTTGCTCCCACAATGCATTGTGCGCTCCGCGGGAAACCAAAATGGCGAAGGTGTGTAACCGGAGCGGGCCGTTAGCTGGGCTTGTGTAGAGCGGAACCGCCGGCCGGAATCATCTCCCCTCCAGCCCCGCCGACGACCGGCTGACTGAGCAGCTGAAGGCGCTGACTCGTGTTTTCGCTGTGGGGGGCGCTCTGCACCACTGAAGTGACCGAATGAGGTGAGTGTGGCCCGGAGTGGGAGAGCCGGCCTATTGGGTTCTGCAGGCCCGGGCATAGCGGCCTTCCTCCAGGCTAAAGAGTCGCAGAAGGTCTGAGCACAGGGAGCCCGGCTTTGTCAGGCGTTTGAAGAGGACCTGTCATCCATGGGCTGCACATCCCATTGTTCCTAACATATGAATGGTGTTTTTATGATAAATAACGATTAGGCCATCATTGTCTTCTAATACTACCAGAAGGGCATGGGGGGATGTATTGCATGTGCTGCCACCTTCCACAGCTCATTCTAGAGACTTATCTAGACCAGCCCTTGCAGGGGCTCCTACAGAGGTGTCTAGGGGTCCTATAAGCTGTGGTTGAGCCACCCACTTTTAGCTGTTTGTACAGCTGGCCATATTGGCTTGGTTTGGTTTTTCTTTTTGTACCCCTCGTGGGACTAAACAAGACTAAATGCGTTCTTGCCTGACCACCACTGTAAGGGAGGGGGGCGTTCTTGCCTGACCACCACTGTAAGGGAGGGGGGCGTTCTTGCCTGACCACCACTGTAAGGGAGGGGGGCGTTCTTGCCTGACCACCACTGTAAGGGAGGGGGGCGTTCTTGCCTGACCACCACTGTAAGGGAGGGGGGCGTTCTTGCCTGACCACCACTGTAAGGGAGGGGGGCGTTCTTGCCTGACCACCACTGTAAGGGAGGGGGGCGTTCTTGCCTGACCACCACTGTAAGGGAGGGGGGCGTTCTTGCCTGACCACCACTGTAAGGGAGGGGGGCGTTCTTGCCTGACCACCACTGTAAGGGAGGGGGGCGTTCTTGCCTGACCACCACTGTAAGGGAGGGGGGCGTTCTTGCCTGACCACCACTGTAAGGGAGGGGGGCGTTCTTGCCTGACCACCACTGTAAGGGAGGGGGGCGTTCTTGCCTGACCACCACTGTAAGGGAGGGGGGCGTTCTTGCCTGACCACCACTGTAAGGGAGGGGGGCGTTCTTGCCTGACCACCACTGTAAGGGAGGGGGGCGTTCTTGCCTGACCACCACTGTAAGGGAGGGGGGCGTTCTTGCCTGACCACCACTGTAAGGGAGGGGGGCGTTCTTGCCTGACCACCACTGTAAGGGAGGGGGGCGTTCTTGCCTGACCACCACTGTAAGGGAGGGGGGCGTTCTTGCCTGACCACCACTGTAAGGGAGGGGGGCGTTCTTGCCTGACCACCACTGTAAGGGAGGGGGGCGTTCTTGCCTGACCACCACTGTAAGGGAGGGGGGCGTTCTTGCCTGACCACCACTGTAAGGGAGGGGGGCGTTCTTGCCTGACCACCACTGTAAGGGAGGGGGGCGTTCTTGCCTGACCACCACTGTAAGGGAGGGGGGCGTTCTTGCCTGACCACCACTGTAAGGGAGGGGGGCGTTCTTGCCTGACCACCACTGTAAGGGAGGGGGGCGTTCTTGCCTGACCACCACTGTAAGGGAGGGGGGCGTTCTTGCCTGACCACCACTGTAAGGGAGGGGGGCGTTCTTGCCTGACCACCACTGTAAGGGAGGGGGGCGTTCTTGCCTGACCACCACTGTAAGGGAGGGGGGCGTTCTTGCCTGACCACCACTGTAAGGGAGGGGGGCGTTCTTGCCTGACCACCACTGTAAGGGAGGGGGGCGTTCTTGCCTGACCACCACTGTAAGGGAGGGGGGCGTTCTTGCCTGACCACCACTGTAAGGGAGGGGGGCGTTCTTGCCTGACCACCACTGTAAGGGAGGGGGGCGTTCTTGCCTGACCACCACTGTAAGGGAGGGGGGCGTTCTTGCCTGACCACCACTGTAAGGGAGGGGGGCGTTCTTGCCTGACCACCACTGTAAGGGAGGGGGGCGTTCTTGCCTGACCACCACTGTAAGGGAGGGGGGCGTTCTTGCCTGACCACCACTGTAAGGGAGGGGGGCGTTCTTGCCTGACCACCACTGTAAGGGAGGGGGGCGTTCTTGCCTGACCACCACTGTAAGGGAGGGGGGCGTTCTTGCCTGACCACCACTGTAAGGGAGGGGGGCGTTCTTGCCTGACCACCACTGTAAGGGAGGGGGGCGTTCTTGCCTGACCACCACTGTAAGGGAGGGGGGCGTTCTTGCCTGACCACCACTGTAAGGGAGGGGGGCGTTCTTGCCTGACCACCACTGTAAGGGAGGGGGGCGTTCTTGCCTGACCACCACTGTAAGGGAGGGGGGCGTTCTTGCCTGACCACCACTGTAAGGGAGGGGGGCGTTCTTGCCTGACCACCACTGTAAGGGAGGGGGGCGTTCTTGCCTGACCACCACTGTAAGGGAGGGGGGCGTTCTTGCCTGACCACCACTGTAAGGGAGGGGGGCGTTCTTGCCTGACCACCACTGTAAGGGAGGGGGGCGTTCTTGCCTGACCACCACTGTAAGGGAGGGGGGCGTTCTTGCCTGACCACCACTGTGAAGGGGGGGGCGTTAGGTAAACACTGCAAAATATGCACACAATGAAAACACTGCAGCTTCAAGAAATGATTGCAGGTCTGAGTTTTTCTTTGCTGTAATGTTCTTGGTATAATTTGTGCATTTTGTAGCCATTAGTAAGTTTAACATATGCTGAAATGTAGCCATTTGGCCTTTACAATGCACACCTAAGCACATGGGCACCAAACTATCTTCAAGGCCATGGTACTAAACCTGCCCATACACCTATAGATTTTCTGTGGTCAGATGGAAAAGGTTCAACAGATTCCTCCATCTACGCTAAACTGTGTGAATGGAGGAATCTCCCACTGGGCCAAGCTTCAGTATCTTGCTAGTCGGCTCTGCTGGCTCTCAGAATACATGGACAATCTGATTGGATGCTGGCATTGTTCAGGTATTTTGACAGCCAGCGGGGCACACTAGCAAGATACTGAAGCTTGGCCCAGTGGGAGATTCCTCCATTGACACAGTTTAGCGTAGATAAAGGAATGTGTTGCACTTTTTCCATCTGACCATTGAACGTCTGCAGATCATCTATAGGTGTATGGCCAGTATAACATACTATGACTAGGTTGTTAGGGGGCTGTATAATAAAGAAAGAAGACGACTCTTGTTTGTATGCTAATGTTACCTCTCACTGCGCAGTGAACTGAATGAACTAGTGTTTATTGAACTGCAAATGCTTTTAAGACAATACAGTTAATCCTATTAGACTAAGAAGGTTGACATTGTTACATTTCACAGTTTATGGAATGCTTTGTTAGCCTGATTTTTTTATTTTTAATGTAACCTGTCTGAAAGGCTGACTGATTCACTGATCCACATGAGGATGGTGAAATCTACTCTTTGTTATGTGACATAAGGTTAGATTTATAATGGCTATGCCAACTAATTTTGCGCACTTTTGTTTTCTGTCTGCCAGTATCTGAAGGGTTAGTTGGGTCAGGCAGGGTGAATGTCCATGCTGATGTGTGTGGTCACAGACAGCACTCCTTTGTGTTCTTCCATGAGCCAGTTTGTTGCCAGGCTTTGTTCTGCCTTTGTCCAAGGCAAGTTCTCCTTTTTGTTCATGAAGATTGTGATTGTGCAGGTGCTTCTTCTGACAGTATAGCGGACAACAGTTTCTTATAAGTGTGTGACTGCCTGCACAAACGAGTACTTTGCACCTTTTGTTGCCTCTCCACATAATTTGAAAGGCAAATCAGCCAGACCAATTTAGGCAGGAAATCCCAGACCAAAATATTTACCAGTTTGTTCCGTTAGAATGTGTTTACATCAGCGCTTTTAAAAAAAATGTTTTTATTATTACTGTGATGCTGCAGAACAAATCGGTAGGAAACATGTTTTCTTCTGCTATCTGCAGTTGTTTTTTTTATGTAATGTGGTTAACCATATACATCTTCTTATAGGGACATGGAAAATTGGTATAAACAGCACAGAAATCCCTTTTTTGTTTTCTAAAGGAAATCTTTAGGTCATAAGTCCCTTTTGCTGTTCCTGGGCCCTGCACAGGTTGGTGGGTGGAGCTGAGCCGAAATGCATTGCATGTCCTGATGTCACACTACCCTAATGTCATTATTGTATGTACTATTCTCTTCTCTAAATCTCCTCTTCTCTGATCTTTTAGGTGATTAGCTTTACTTAAATACCTATTTCATGTCATTCTAACCTTGACTCAGATCATGCTAATTTGCCCCCGACCCCTTATTTGTACTTTGAAAAAAAAAGAAAACAACCTGTTGACAGTTTTTTTTAATAAATTCTTTATTTATCATTTTCATGAAATTTATAAAAAAACAAAATGAACATAACAGTAGTACAGAATGTACTCAGAAGTTGGTCAAGGAAATCCACCATCCCTACTATGCATCATAAACAGGCGGCTTTTTCGTAAAGAATCCGCGAAGTTTCGGTGAGGATTTCGGGGTCCCCTTTCCTTTCTTCTTTTTGGACATGGCCCCAAATCCACACCATTTAAGCAACACCAGCCTGAGATATCGGACCCGAGTTACGGAGCTCACGCGCTGCACGTCCTCACAGTTCCATGTCCTGGCCACGCCCCCCCTGTTGACAGTTTTTTCACTCTAACTTTCTTTCCCTCACCTCTTCAAACAGATTGTCTTTCTTAGCAGCCCTGCAGATCAGCTACTCATCCTACTTATCTACGCGCTCCTTCAGTGTCACCTACAATTCTAACTCCTCCCCTCTTCTTCCTCTTTCTGTAGGGGTCCCCCAAGGCTCAGTCCTTGGACCCCTCCTCTTCTCTATCTACACCTCCTCCCTTGGTCAACTAATAACCTCACATGGCTTCCAATACCATCTCTATGTGGATAACACTCAAATTTGCCTTTCCACTCCACAACTGTCCCCCTCAGTGTCCTTGTGTGTCACTAATCTACTAAATGACATATCCGTCTGGATGTCACAACATTTCTTAAAACTCAACCTTTCAAAAACTGAGCTCATGATATTTCCTCCACCCCGTGCACCTTCCCCCAACATTTCAGTTGTGATTGATAACACAACTATCCAACCCTCCCCTCATGCCAAGGTCCTAGGTGTCATCCTTGACTCGGACCTCACCTTTCTTCCCCACATCCAATCGCTATCCAAATCCTGCCGCCTTCACCTTCGTAACATCTCAAAAATACGCCCCTTCCTCACCAATGACACCGCAAAACTACTCATACACTCCCTTGTTATCTCTCGTCTTGACTATTGTAACTCCCTCCTCATTGGCCTTCCACTACACAGGATATCCCCCCTTCAGTCTATCATGAATGCAGCTGCCAGACTCATTCACCTTACCAACCGCTCAGTGTCTGCATCCCCCCTCTGCCAATCCCTCCACTGGCTTCCACTCGCCCAGAGGATAAAATTCAAAATATTAACAGTCACCTATAAAGCCATCCACAACTCTGCCCCCGGATATATCTCAGACCTTGTCTCAAAGTATCACCCTAACCGTCCCCTCCGCTCATCCATTGACCTCCTGCTTTCCAGCTCCCTTGTCCACTCCTCCCATACTCGCCTCCAGGACTTCTCTAGAGTCTCTCCCATCCTCTGGAACTCCTTACCCCAACCTGTCCGTCTATCTCCCACCTTGACTGCCTTTAGGCGTTCCCTAAAGACTCATCTCTTCAGGGAAGCCTATCCCACCTCAACCTAACCACTGAACCTTCACATTCTCACATAATTCATTCCCACAGCTACCTCATGTATCATTTCCCCCTCCTCTTTTAGATTGTAAGCCCTCAGGGGCAGGGCCCTCCTTACCATCTTGTCTTGAATTGTATTGTAACTGTAATGTCTTCCTTATATTGTAAAGCGCTGCGCAAACTGTTGGCGCTATATAAATACTATGTAATAATTATAGCCTATTCCCTGGACTGGGCAGAGCAGGGTGGAGAACAAGTAATCAAATGACATAGCAGGTATCAATTGCCATTGTAAGTGGATGGGCGTAGTAAATAGACATGCGACCAGACATAATAAGCAGAGCATGCAAAATAGCTGTGGCAATGTTGTGGCTGTAGGTTGTTGCTACCGCTTGCCAAGGAGGGCAGCTCACTAGCAGGATTAGCAGGTATTGAAGGAAATCAAATTGGATTACAAAAAACAAAAGCGCAAACAGTTTTGAAATTGTAATTGGGAGGTTTTAATGTCTTGTGCTTTTTGGGGTTTTACAACCACTGTCTTTAGGCTTGATAGATGAATATCTATATGTGTCGCAATTAATTAAAAAATAACGCCTTTGGTGGCCACCGATAACTGTCAGATATCATGCATGCACCATATGAGATCTGGTGCAGCTTGTTATTGAACAATAACCAACCTTACCATATGGCTGGTGACGTAGCCTTCCCAGGGAGTATGCATGAGGCACTGGCTATGTTACCAGTGCTTAGTGTAAACCAGGAAGTATAACAACATTTGACTTTTTTTTTTTTTTTAATGTACAAATACATTTAAAGGATGTGTATGCAGAGCTGCAGGCAACATTTATTTTTGTGTTTAGGGGGTAAAAGTCCACTTTAACAAGTGCGTAGATAGGAGCTCAATCCTTTAATCTGCAGTTGAGTGAAACATAGTAGATACAAAATTAACATGTTAACATTAAAATGTTACTTTGTAGCTCTGTCTGCAGTCTGTTATTTACACAGCAACTGGTATTTTGACAGTCGGAATTGCCAGCAAGTGCAAGGGGGAGGTAGTGACAGCGGGTAGAAGCACAGCGTACTATATATGTCCTATTTACTTTGAAGATTGTAAACAAATTTTTTATCGGTACTCGTACTCAGGACCAAAATACCGGTATCGGTGCATCCCTAGTTTACACCATATGTATTTGGGCTGTGCTGGTTGTATTTTCCAGCACATCCCAAATGCAAGACAAGGTAGTTTGCCTTGTCATGGGTGGGCACAGTTCACACCACCGCATTACAGGATGCAGTACTTTCCCCATAGGGGTTGGGGGAGGGGGGCGTGCTGGGGTTACTCTACAGTGATTGACTTTCAGCCAAGTTAGCAGGAGTTCGACGTAATTCATGGTGTATTTCCAACTTTACTGTATTGTTACTTAAGTAGAGTAAGAACCAGATGAAAGCATTTGGCTCCTATTAGATCTGCACATAAGAGTTAAGTGGTGCTGTGTGTGGGGAAGGGCAAAATAAAAAGAACATCTATATGAGATGACAAGCAATGCTGGGTCTAGCATGTGATTTTTTTTTTATTTTTTTTTTTACCAAGCTGTTTCATTCTTTGTAGTAGAATGTCACATATAAAGATTCATTTTTCCTAGATGTTTAATTCAATTGTAACTTTGCTTGTTTGGTTTTAATTTTCCAGCTTGTAAGTAGTGTGCTTTTAAACGTATTTAGAATTGTCTTGTTAATATGTTTATTTCTTATTTTAAGAGACGTAACTGCTGCAGGCAAGTCACTGGTCCTTAAAAGATCCCCTTTCCGGCATAATAAGAAGGCCTCGGAGTCTTTAACAAAATCATCTATTCGGCATGGACAGAAACCCAAGAGACAAGTTTGTAAATTTGAAGAAGGTCAAGATGTCTTAGCAAGATGGTCAGATGGATTGTTTTATCTTGGAACTATCAAAAAGGTAATGTCTGATAAAATGTAAATCCGGGGTGACAAACTTTTCGTATATATAATAATAGGGAAACATTTATAAATCGGGTAGGCAACCTATTTGTTTTTTTTCTCAACAAAAGTGAAGTTACTCTTGAAGTGGTTTTCAAATTCCAAATTTTGACTTTTTAAGTCAGATGTTAAGCTCTACTCTCTCTTTTGCGCTTCCCTGACTAATGTCTCCCTGAAGGGTTGGCTGCCTCATCTTTGCAGAAGGAGTTCTGTTGGATGGAGAAATAGGCTCACCAGATCTCGCATCACTACTTTGAGATCATTGTGCATTATGATTCATATGTGGGGTAAGGCTGAACAGAGATTGATAGCATGTGCTCGCTTTCTCAAAAATTGGTGTCAAAAGATGAAGTCACAAATTTACTTCAGCCTCCCCATAGCATAATGGTTGTCAAGAGTTATGGAAATTTATCAGACGAGGACCTTTTGGCATCTGCCAATCAGAGAGGCACAGTTCAATCACACCTTGTTTTAGTGGACCGCATTCACGTCCTCCCCAGATTTATAGTGACCCGTTGGGTACACAATAGAGGGGAAGACTCGGGATGGGCGCTGGAGTACACTGGCTTGGGACACGGGCATTGATTTGGATTGGCTCTCTTCCTCTTGGGGGTGCCTACTGAGCCTGATTTCTCGCCGGATTTTGGGGCTGAGCATGGGGGGAGAGAGGAGGTTCTCCTGTTTTCTCTGCTGTCTTTATTCTTGAAAAATAAAGAGTTTACCAAAAGAAAAAAAAAAGGTCACGTCAAGGAGAGAGAATTGTGTTATCAGTAGACCATGCTCTTGTACTTAGAGATGCAAGGGGATGGCCAAGCTCCAGGCTGAGCACCCTTGGCTCCTTAACTCTCCTGTGGCACTATGGAAAACTATTGAAAATGCTAGTTCCCTGACCATCATGCCTAACTTCAGCACTTAGTCATTGACTAGGAACAGATGCAGATCAGTAGTTCTGACTTTGCTTGCTGCGTGCTTCCGGGTTGGTGAGTCAGAAACTACTAAAACCAGAGACAGCCAACCAGCTAGCATTTTCAGGAGGTCAGCAATGGCAGTCTCTAGGGCTGCAGCTGACGATTATTTTCATAACGGATTAGTTAGCCAATTATTAAGTTCGGTTAATCGGATAAAAAAAAAAGTCTCCAGTGATGGACTTCTAGTTTCTATTGAGATTGTAGTCCATCACAGGAGCAAGCTTGGTGCGGTGGAAGTAAAAAAAAAAAGAAAGTGTGGTGTGCAATATAGTACATTATACAGCGGCGCAGTGCAGAATACCAGCAGCTATAGAGGAATGCAGCAATAGTGCATTATACTATAATGTACTATCGCTGGGATTTGTAGTCCTCTGTAGCTGGCGTTATTCTGCATTGCGCTGCATATAATGTATTATTGCTGGGATTTGTAGTCCTCTATAGCTGGTGGCATTCTCCATTGCGCTGTATAATGATTATACTGCGCAATGCAGATTACCACTGACCAGTTATAGAGGAACAACAAATCCCAGCAATAATACAGTATACAGCGCAATGGAGAATACCACTAGCTATAGAGGAACAACAAATCCCAGCAATAATACATTATACATGCTGTATAATGTATTGCTGGAATTTGGTTTTCCTCTATAGCTGCTGGTGTTCTGCAGTGTGCTGCTGTATTATACAATGCAGAATACCATGCACAATACAATGCAGAATACCAATGTATAATACAGCGGCACACTGCAGAACATTAGCGGCTATAGAGGAACAACAAATCCCAGCAATAATACGTTAAACAGCCTGTATAATGTATTATTGCTGGGATATGTTGCTCCTCTATAGCTGCTGGTGTTCTGCTGTGTGCCGCTTTTTTTTTTTAAACCGGAAACATTAAGGCCCCATGCGCGCATTTGTCGCGCAATTTGCATTTTGCGCGATATCGCGCAAATGCTTGCATTGAGCAAGCTGGAATCGCGGCAAAATCCGCTCCAAAAAGGGTCCTGCTGTAGCAACACACGACCCGCGACAGCAGGACCCTTTGCCCCATTGCAAAGCATTGAAGAGCGATATCGCGCGGTAAATAGCCTCAATATCGCGGGTATTACCGCGCGATAAATCGCTCAATGTGAACGGGGCCTTAAACAGGTCCCCCTTACCTGTTTCTGAACCGTTGTAAGTCGCTGCGGCGGCGTGCTCTGCGGGGTATCCTGCGTAGCGTAACTCGTGTATGGAGCCGCGAACAGGCCGGCGTGAGTGGCGAGCAGGACATTTTACATTTTAATCGACCTAATCGAATAATTGTTGCAGCTCTACAGAATACCAATGTATAATACACCGGCACACTGCAGAACATTAGCAGCTATAGTGGAACAACAAATCCCAACAATAATACATTATACAGGCTGTTTAATGTATTGTTGGGATTTGTTGTTCCACTATAGCTGCTAATGTTCTGCAGTGTGCCGCTTTAAAAAAAAAACCAGGAAACATTCAAAACCTCCCGGCCGATCTCGACTTACTTTGAATGACGGTGTTGTCGGCGGGCAGCGGCTTTGTTGGTTGTCGGCGGGCAGCGGCGAGTCGGGAAGCTCACCGGAAGGAGAGGGCAAGGCGCATGTCCTCAGCGTGGGCGTGGCATAAGCGGCGTCGCGTGGGCAGGTTTGCTGGCGTGTGCGGTGGGCATGGCGTAAGCGGGTTTTCTTGACGTGGGCGTGCAGCGGCGAGCGGGAAATTTGAATTTTAGCCGACGAATCGACTTAATCGAATAATTAGCAGTCTCCATATTTTTCTCAGTATAAGACTGGCAGCTCACACTTTGTTTTTGTCTGATGTGTTCCAATGAAGTAATTGAAAAGGTGCATGTCAAGGAGCTTGTATTATGATGCTCGCTGATGTGAAATGTAACGTGATGCAGCGCGTATTACAATGCTTGGTAATATGCATGAACGCTGGTTGACATAATGCATTTCCATTGATTTAAATGGCAATGCATTGGAGCAAAATGCACATAGTTTTGTTTGAGCCCTAAATGTTGGGTCACTCTTCATTTGGCAATGTTGAAGATACTCATTTAAGCCTGTCAATTGTTAAAATGATGGTGACCATGCTGTAAAAATGATGGTGACCATGCTGTAAAAATGATGGTGACCATGCTGTAAAAATGATGGTGACCATGCTGTAAAAGTTATCTTTGGTCACCTTCACCTCTGTGAAGGGGAATGTTTGTTTGCATTTAGACTTTTTAATGAGTTAAAGTGGTAAAAAAAATAATTAATCTCTGCTAGAAACAGAAGTAGGACTACAACTAACGAGGATTTTCATAATTGATTAGTTGGCTGATTTATTTTTTCGATTTAACCGGATTAAAAAAAATATACCTTTTTTAATTTAAAGTAAAATGCACAAATGCAGTGTTACAAATGTAAAGTTTACTTCAGAATTAAACTGCATTTACATTTTTTTTTGCAAACGCACCGCACTGGAAAGCACTGCACGATCACATTGGGTAGGAGGCACGTTTGGGCTGTCATTGAAATGAATGGCACTGCAACGTACCTTCCGCAGCAGAATTTGTCAGGCCAAAACGGAAAGTACTCCCCCCCTTATAATTTTATAATTTATTTATTTTTAATAATTGTATTGTAAGCACATGGCACTTGAATAGCTTCAGCCAGGTAATGACAGCTGCCAGTGGCAAGATTCCGCAGATGGCAGCTGAATGTAAATACAGCCGGTAGTGGGCTGGTGCAATAGCCAGCCTGCTATTGGCCATTTCAAATTTCAATAGCAGGCTGGGTATTGCACTCACCCACTGCTTGCTGTGCCCTCCTCCCAGCGTGGAGAAGAGAGGGGATCCAACCAGCCTAATCGATAATGAGAATAGTTAACTATTCTCATTATTGATTAGTTGGTTGCCCTGAACAGAAGCGATTTCAGATGTTTGATTCCTACAGGTCTTTATTATTTTTCTGTTTTTTGCAAGTTGCAGTTGTATGTTTTTCATTGTTTTAGTTTTGTAAGGTAAATAAGGTGTTATTTGTATTACAGATAGATAACGTTCAGCAGAGCTGCTTTATATTATTTGAAGACAGCTCTAAATCGTGGGTACTCTGGAAGGACATACAAACAGGTAAAAGACTTGAAGGAGGCACTGATAACTATACCGCTACTGGTTGCAATTCTTCCATGTCTATGTCCTATGTCTAAGCTCTCTGTCTAAACCGAAAGTGAATGAAGCTGCATCACCACCAAATCTTTTTCTTCTTGAATAAATGTTAATCCGCAGGGAACAGTGTATTACAAGTAATGCTGTCCACAGAACCTACTACGACTGTCACTTGTAATGCACTGTTCCCTCTGGAATAACGTTTTTGAAGAAAGTATTTGGCAATGTTGTGGCTTCTAGACAACAAAAGCTTTGCACCAAACAACAAAAAAAGCAGCAAGCACTATATCCAGCCATTAGAAGACAAACAAACCAACCATGTATAATTACAATGTGTCGCTCTAAATTTAACAATCTACTAATAACGTGTCACTGCAAAAATATATTCCACAATATGTGAAGAATCTCCTGCACTTCCTGCCGATTAAGTGTAACAGTTCAACGTGGAAATTCAAACAAAACAGTGTAACACCTAAAGTGACACAATAAACTGGGATCACGTATAGTGTAATCAAAAGCAGAATGTCAACATGCACTTCTACTAATAAATATCTGTGAAATGTGACCAGAAAGAAAGATATCGAGAATAAACAATTAAACAGTTCTCCATAATACAAACAGCAGTCCAGCCTCAGCGTGCTTTCTTATCCTCCTATGTGTGTTTTATCCCAATCAGTGACCTCCGCCACATCTTTAGGAATACCGCTCACCTTATTGTAAGACCCAAACAATAGGTCTTTAGAGCCCCGCTCCCCTTTCTTGTCCAGGTGGGAGGAGACCCTTCAATAATAATCGCAGTGAGCACTGATCCACCTCTCTCTTTTTACACACCGTTCTTCAATCAGGAGCATCCACCATTGAGACCAGTTCTCTCCTCAGCTTCTTGATAAGCTAAAGGGTGCATGTTATATATAAAACATACTCCATAGTGTGCACTGTTAAAAGCTTGTAAATCTTTCTTGCAAAATACACTCGCATAAAAAATATTTTTGGTAATGGCATAAACAGCGCCTTTGTCTATAAATCCAAACTCATCTCGGTCCGCTTCAATGTTGCCAACCACTCTGTTTCACAGCTTCACCACACGTGGTTAGTGTTGTGGCTTCTTTCATTTTCTGAATGTGTCACAAGGAAGGAAACAAACTTATTTTAATAAAACTTTGTAACCTTCATGGTAGAGGTTTCCCATCACTTTGTGTCACCATGTCAAAAAGTGACTTGTAATGTCACCAGTGGGGACACGGCAATAAAAAGCAAAGTTTTTAATCCTTCCTGTCCAGAAAGTGAAGTTGGAATGATTGTTGACATTGACGGTTTAAAATATTTCATGTTTTAAAAGCCCTTTTTCTGCCTTTAATTTCAGGAGCCTCTGAAGGTGGTGAAATGGTTTGTTCAATATGTCAGGAGGAGTATTCTGAAGCACCAAATGAAATAGTTATTTGTGACAAGTGTGGCCAAGGTTGGTGTGTACTCCACAGTTGTTTTGGTCACTGAAGTCCCACAATGTGTTTTTATCTGTTATTTTATGTTAGATAAGAAAGTACATTTGAGTTAAAGCTGATTTTTCTTTTTCTTGTGCTTGAAGGATATCACCAACTGTGCCACCCCCCTAAGATCGACTCCACCGTGATTGATAGTGATGAGAAATGGTTATGCCGGCAGTGTGTATTTGCCACTACTACAAAGGTAAACCTCAGCCATAGATGCAACAAAAGCTTTCTATTATAATAAGTTATGGATACTTGAATGCAATTTCCATTTAGTAAGCAATAGAGAGAATTTGACTGTCCTATGCAATCTGGATATGACAGCCGTGTCCCCTCGCTGTTATGGAGAATCTAACAAATATAACTATGAATCCTGTACTTGCAGCCTCACTGCTAAATGTCATTGCTCTTCCACCTGCTATTTTGTATACAGTGCCTAATCGTCACATATACCTGTGTATTTCTAATAGTAATAAAAATGACTATTAAAATAAAAAACTTAGAAGTTTTTCACTTTCACAGAGAAAGTAGAATATATTTCCTCATGTCCCTAGCTGCTTGGTGCGTAGTTTTCTCAATCAGAATGCCTAACAATCAGCTGGTTTAACAGCTCTGCCAACACCAGTGGGTGTTTACCAGACTGTCATGCCAAAGAAAGCTGAACAGCTGTTTAGGCAATACTAGATGCTCAGCCAAAGCTTTCACAGTGAAGACAAGTCAGTCAGCCGCAGGCATTTATGTGGACAGATGTTTCACTATTTTTCTGAAAGTGAATAACTGCAGCACTGATACTTGGTCATTTATTTATTTTTTTTAGAGGGGAGGAGCATTGAAAAAAGGACCCAATGCCAAAGCCCTGCAGGTCATGAAGCAGTCTCTGCCGTACAATTTGGACGCATTAGAATGGGATGTAGGTCACAAGACCAATGTACAGCAATGTTACTGCTACTGTGGAGGCCCAGGAGAGTGAGTACAACATAACTGCTATTTCTAATCATAAGATGCATTGACTTGAATATATCAAAACTGGAGCAGGCAGAATCTGGAGCTGTTGTTCATGGAAATCAATCAGCTTCTATGCTTTATTTTCAAAGCTTCACTGAACAAACTGAATTGGATTGATTACTATGGGCTGCTGCTCCAGATTCTGTCTGCTTCAATTGTGATAAATTCCCTCCCATTATATCTTTCATTGCTGCCATACACCTGATTTTGTTTATTGTATTTCTATAGCAGTGTTCATTTTATGCAACACTTAACATGCTGTTTATTTAAATCAATCCCCACCTTGAAGGAGGTTTGACAGATCACGCCATCTAATGTTACTTTGTAACGGGCTGCAACTAATGATGAATTTCATAATCACTTTAGATTTAATCAGATAAAAAAAATTCAATACCATTCTTTAAAATAAAATCCACAAATGCAGTTTTACAAACCTTAAGTTTACTTCAGAATAGAACTGCATGCACAACTTTTTGCAATTGCCCTGCACTAGAACGCGCAGCATTGTGGTACCATGCATTCCTGTGCGGCCGATCACACTGTGGATGA